GACCTCGTTGCCAATTATGACAATTATCTGGGATCGTGGCACAAATTCTGTTTACTGTATACCGAGTAAAAAATGACCTCAAGCTGAAGCTCAGAACAAGAATATAGTCTCAATAATCTGGATGGTTGGTCCTGGACAAGTATGGTGAGCTTAAGTGGCCTTCATACTAAAAAGTTTGGACACCCTGGTGAGACGGGAGAATTTAGACACAAGAGCTAGAGGGACGTGTTTGTGGCACAAGCTCCTGATATTAGGATGGAATATTATATATATTCAGATTCAGATTCAGATTCATTTATTTGCCATTTGCAGTAAAACCACATTGGAAAAACTGTGCATATTATGTACAAGACCTTCACTGAACTCCGCTACAACATTAACAACTAACTTTCAAGTACAGCCCAATCAAAAACAATGGAAATTCTCTCGCATGAAATGTTCTTAAGAGTTTCTACTTAAGATTTTTGGCCTTGAATTAGATTCATAAGTGGAAATGTACTTCTGGAATGACAAATACAATGATTACTCTCAAGCGCTCAGACAGAAATACTATAACTAAGATAGAACTCCTGAATTAATCTTCAATGTTTTATAGAAGAGTAGTTGATACAAAAACAGGGCTACAGCGCAAATCTGAAGGAGAAAAATAAATTATGTTGAGGAGTCACAGTTGTGTTTATGAGCTTGGATATCATAACATTTTTATCGAGTTTTTTCAATTGATAATATATTAAAAACATTCCCTTCCCTTGGAATAACCACCACCTTTAATATTTTCTAGAGGAGAACAGTTAGACGGAGATGGAGCAGAACATCCAATCAGGAAGCTGTGGGGGCGGGTCAAACTGGTGCTTGCATAAAAATAAAAAATATTCTCAATCTTAAACATCAAAAATTGACCTTCACTTTTACCAAACAGTCTGCCCACTTCGAATTCCCACTCTGGTTCACAAAGTACCCAATAATTATCCCTATTTGGGTCTTTTTTTTTCTAATTGGTATTCTTTTGGTGCAAAATGTTCTCAAAGATTAAAAGCATCGGACAAAGTTTCATAAATACAGCCCCCGGAGCAGGTCTTCGAAACACATGAGGCTGATAACGATGAAAAGGGCAAAATCATACAAGTTCAAAGTGTCCTGTAATTTCCCTCTTCAAACGCAAATGTCTGTTTTTCCACTTTATTGCTATTTCGAAAATGCCACGGCTGATTTGTAAATGACATGGTGCGGCTAATTGCTTTAATATTTCCAGGAGCAAAACAAAGCTCTTCACACGAGCTGTACAAAAAGACAAGTGAATTCATTAAAACCGTAGAACAATTGCGCTCTCTCCTGCGTCGCAATCCGAACAAAAATGCATATTACACCAGTCACCAATTTAAACACGGAGGGGAGACTGCAGAGATCTGTGCCCAAAGTAAATGAGTAAAACACACTAGTCCCTGAAGAACCTTAGCGAAGCAATAAACCTCCAGCTCTGCTAATAGAGCTGCCACATGCTCGCTTACACACTGCAGCAGCTGCGGCCGGATCGGGGAGAACCATCTTTAAGGTTGGCCAAGTATGTCCGACCGTAAATTTGCACTTATATTTCACACTGTACGTCCAGCTGTTAAACATCTATGCAATATTCAGTTAATGGGAGAGTAAAGCGTTCCCAATCTGCATGAGATGAGGAGATGAAGAAGTAGTATTAAGCAAAATTGCCATTTTCTTGAGGTTTTAATCAGGTTGCAAGATTGTTCTTTCATCAAAGACAGACTTGGGGTTAGCAGTTGCTTCGTTATCAAGAACTTCTGCCACAAACGTGAATCCCTGCCCCTTCTGTCCATTTGCAAGTTTTTAAACCTTGGTATGCAGTGAAGAATATTCCATCTTTCAATTCAGTTTGATGTATTATTGTATAGTCCTACATCACAACAGCAGTCCTCTCAGAAGACTTTAAAGTTGTCAATTTGCCAACAAGAGAAAGGAAAAATAGAAATGTAAGAATGACAAACACATAGGAGCCATTGGTCCATAGGGAGTGGGATGACCAATGCTCATAAATGTTAATTTTTTTTAATGCAGGAGCACTTGAAACCAAAGAGTGCACCTGCAAGGACCCAGTTTCCAGGTTCTAGTCCCTTCAGTTATTATTGTTTTAAATTGTATCTGGTTACTTAAAATTATTTTCAATAAATGTCCCTTTATATTTTTTACAGTTTTATGTTTTTGTGATGTGGACCCAAGATGAAATTCCGGACAATTCAATGTGTTCATGTATAGCCCTAAATCACAACAGTAGTTATCTCTGAGGACTTTACACAACCGTTGATTTCGCCAACACAGATCAGAGAATCAATCCGTTCAAACTAAGGCTGGGACAACGCGTCAACGTAATCGGTGACGTTGACGCAAAAAATACACCGACGTATAATATGCGCGTTGGTGCGTCACACACAAAACAAAGATGGCGGCGAGCGGTAGCAATGCGAGTGCCGTGTTAGAGAAGTGCAAGCCGGTGTAACGCTGAGATACACTGCCTTGAAGAGATGCACAGCCTCAGCTGTTTATCATGTAATGCAAACCTGCGCATGCGCGTCTCACGGCAGCCGAAGCAAACCAAGATGGCGGACCGTGAATTTCTTTAAAAGTTAAAATACGAACGAATTCAGACACTGAATGTCACTTTTAATGCAATTTGAGGCGAGATGTTGATGGTTCCGTTTTGTCACATGTGGGTTTTAAGAGTCAAAGTTTCGTGCAAAGTTCAGTTTAAGCAGTCAACTGCGCCTGTGAAACCACAAAGCTAATGTTTTCATAGCAGTCCGCGGCTGCTGACGTAGGCTAATGACGCGTCCTGTGGCAACTCTACAGCTTACAACTAGTCTGTCTTTCTTTGTATCAAACGGAATATTGGCGCCCGTAATAGCCCCTACATGTATTATTCACTGTCATGCCCGCCGTATATGGACATTTTTCAACATGTGTTCAATATCCTTAATGTGTTTAACTGTTGATTGATTCTCTGATCTGTGTTGGTGACTTCAATGTTGTTTTAAGTCCTCTGAGATGACTTCTACTGTATTGTTTCAGTAACTCTAAAAGAAAGGATGACTGGTTGACCTTTTTATTTGCTACACAATGCATTGTTTTTCTCTTGTACACTCTTACTTGAATTTTATTTTTGAATTTTGAGTTTAAGAAAAAGGTGAGTGGCAGAGTTTTGACTGTTATTTTTATATGAATGAAGAATTTAAGAGATGCACTTTAATTAATGGACTTCAGTAATATAGGCCTATGTGTCTTCAACTTAAATGTTAAACTCTGTTGGTTCAGGAAGGACGCCATGACAGGCTGATGGCTCCCACTGTTTTTGCTGGAAAAGCACTCTTTGTTTAGCTTAAAGCCTTCAAGTTTACATTGGTTACTGTTTTCTTTTAGTTGCTCTACACAAGTATTTGGCTGAACTTTTTCATATTTTTATTGAATGCTAAGCATCCAATGTTTGTTTCAAGAATGATAAGATGCACTTTTTTCAGTAAGCTGTGTTTTCAAGGCTTTAAGGTTTTATGCTACCTCTAAGAATGTCTTATTTTTGAATTTTGAGAGCAAGCAATAAATATTTTTTGTGAAGGAATTCATGTTTTCATTAAAATATTTAAATCAACATGTATACATCAATATTAGTCAATTAATGGGGAGATAATCGAGAATCGAATCGAATCGAAATCAAATCGAAGAGAAAAAAATAATCGTTAGATTAATCGATGCATCGAAAAAATAATCGCTAGATTAATCGTTTAAAGAATAATCGTTTATCCCAGCCCTAGTTCAAACACAAGAAATATAACAGAAAACACCTTGGTGTTGGTCCATGAGGGGCAGATGTCCATAAATGTCCATAAATGTTGATGAATGTTGAGTGTCCTGGATCATCACCACTGTCCTTTTAGTTAGACCTCTCAAGACTCTAACAGACCCTCCTAAAAAGACAATAAAGGTTATCTATTCTATGTAGTCCAATAGGTATCTCTAAAGCCCTTTACAAACATTTACATCAACCCAGAGTTTACCCAGCTAAACTCCAGAGAGCCTGCTGTTCCTACTCACATTCTAGGAACACATTGGTCTGGAAATGAACCCTCCAGGGTCTGAGTGTTAAATCCGGCTAAAATCTGAAAGGGGTACGTTTTCGTGGAGCTGCAAATTTTCCGGGCCGATTTGCCAGTGGCGGCAATGAAGCACACAGTGCGTAGCAGCTGAATGTGCTCCAGACGTGCTTTGGTTTTGATTTTTCTTATTTGTGTAAGGTGCACATAGGGTCAAAAACACATGGTGAGAATATCATCATTTTGCCACGTACACAAAGAAATGTGCTTAATTTCGTGTATATGTTTTCTTTATGTTTTACAGCCGCTGCAGCCAATGCACAGACTATTTTTTTGTACTTTTCTTTGTCGAGGTTTAACATTTTCCTTGAACTTTACAAAATTCAACCGAGATGTACACAGCTCCAAAAAGTATTCATCTCGGTTGAATATCTCATTGTTAGTTCGCCGAGGAGGTGGAAGAAACCAGTATTTGGAGCATGAAAACATTCTGTTAACCATTCAATACCCTTTGCGCCAACACTGATTACCAGAACCCAGACTAAAACTATATAATCTTACACATTATTAGATCATTCTGCTCAGTATTTACCCTTGAACTGCAGGACCTCCAGTTCAGATCTGTCACTGATGCAACAAAGAAACGTCAATAGCACATTTATGGAGTGGATATGATGATGCACGAGTCTACCAGGGGGTTATGACAAGCTTGGAGCCATGTTATATGAGTCTGCTGGCTCCAGTAGGCAGCAGTGCCCTGGGGGGGGGGGGGTCAAAGAATAGCCGGCACCGTAGAGATGAGAGGCTGCTTCAGCATTTTAACCTACTGGGGATTACTATCATCATTAGAGATGTTTTTCACCACACAGCCTTGGGACAGAATAAATGAGCCTTTAGACAGAACAAATGGCTGGTCGGAGAGGGCAGAGACGCGCGAGTCCCCGGCTTCCATTAGAGGAGACGGTGTTATTCCGTCTGTGGCCTCCCCATGGCCCTCTCGCTGTGACCCACCAGGGAGCGAGTCGCGCAGCCAGCCTCGCCGACTTCTTCTTCAGCAGCTCAATGAAAAAAAACCTCGGCGCATCTGAGAGAACGAGGAGGCTCCAGACGGGCACTCGGGCTGCTGGGTTTTTTGATCCGAGCACCCCGACAAAGAGGCGGCGAGCGCGGGACACTCTCGGCATCCCATTAGCCTTTGAGTTGAAATGTCAGACTCGCGGCTGGCCTAGTTCAGACCCTTCCCCCTAGAGAGACGCCCAGCGCAAAGCAAACAAAGTGGCTAAAGAGCTCGGCGAGTTGAGATTCAAACAAGAAGCTGTTTGGTCGTGTGACATTTCATCCAGACTGACGAATGAAAGTATTACTGTCATGTGGATGGACTGTACTTAGGGACGATTGGAGACTGTTTAGGGGCTCATTGAGATTCTACGGTTAAATATCCGTGGGTTTCAGCTTCTAGAGTCATTTGAGGTCTTTTCTTAACCAGTATTTTATGTATTATTTATGTGTTTTTTTTTACTGCAAATGGCAAATAAACGGAATCTGAATCTGAATTTGAATAATAAAACATTTCTTATTTTTTTATTTTTTTGGTAAAAAAATGTAGGAGTAGGGACGGATACAAACTTATACTATAGTCAAAGCTAATTCACAGCACTTGTCCTCACAATGTTAGAAACACAAAGGAGAAAAAAAATATAGAATGCAGATTAAGAAAATATCAATCAATCATGATATTATTTTAAAGGCGACACATCATGTTACAGCACTGTTCAGACCTGGAGTTGGTTTTAGATCCACCCATGCTAGAGCTGGGTATTTTTCACAGCCTGCCGATTCAATATCTAGATGCACAGGACTTTCAACTTGATTATTTCTAAACGATACAGTACTGTTCAATAAATAGTGAAGGCTTTTTTGGGCTCTTAAAACACTTTGCCACATTTGAAAAAAAAAAAAAACAATATTAATGAGGCGTCATTTCAGTAATTGAATATCAATTATTAACCCCAAATCCATTATCTGTAACTTCTGGCATAAACCTGAAACTGCGCCCCTTCCGTCTAAAAGCTCCAGTCTCAGGCATTTCATAGTACGTTCAGAGCAGCTTTTAACGTTTTTAAAACAAAAGTATTTCCCATAAATTAGTTTTGCAAACATTTGCCTGTGTTTGGGGACGGTAATTTTCAAATTTGGAGATCAAACAAAACCAATTCTACACCTCCCTCTGGTGGTAGGTAGGCATAATGCAGGCCTTAAGGCATTATTTACCCTTCATACATATTCTACTGAAGATATGATTTCACATTCTAAACATGAAATCAGTAAATAGTCCCATTAATTCTTCTTTAAACAGAACTGGATGAATGTTTCTAATCGATCACGCACTGAGTAGGAGCTTTAGAATCCGATGTGAACCCGGTGAGCACTGCTCCAGAGTAGTGTACTTGTGGTCTTGATCATTTCTGTGACATTTGCTGTTAAAGGGCATTGTCAACAACAGAAGGAGAAATAACACACATTTCTATGTATTATCCGCTTCTTTGTCTGACCTTTTGTTCGTACTCTCTCAGACACAATGGGAGACTCATAGTTCACTGATATGTTCATTTTTGTGAACTAATGAGTGGCTTTTCAGTGTGTGAATTGGTCTGTTTTATATCAGGCAATTTGCAAGTATGTTACAAAGAGATGTTTCTATAATTGGGGAAAAATTAATGTTTTCAAATCTTGGAGTTATTTTTTCACGAGGAAACTAAACTTTCTTATCACAATAAAAGTGGTCAATTTGCAGCTTCTTTTCACAGTCCAAACATCAGATGGAGCCAAATATCTTGCCAATGGCGCATCTCCGGTGTACGAGAATATAAATGAATCAAGCATGCTCTAAAAACAACTTTCAATGTGTAAATGACGAGGGACAAAATCTGTGAAAAGTCCATTTAGCCTGTTGTTTAAAACATTCATTTTCAGATATCTCAGTTTTTAAAATGTGTCAAAAATATGTATTCCTCTAGTTACAATTTTCAGCATGTTTTGTCATTGGCAGTAAATTTGACCCTCCGTGGTCCCGTATCAAAATACATCTGAGACACGCTGGTGCCCAGAGTCAGGACGAAACATGGTTATGCAGCTAAAATCTGGAACAGTCATCCTGAAAATGTGAGACACGCTTCTAATCTTTTCCTTGCGATGCAGGAAGGTCTAAGGACTGTGGTGATTATCCAGGACCGCGATCTCCAAGCTTTTTAGTGCCATGAACCGGTTTTAACGTCAAACAACAATTGCACGGACTGGAACCCAAACAAGGATGTGTGTTTACATTTCAGGGCTACCGTGTCGCGTGACATAGACGTAAATAAAGAATCCGGTCATTTTTCAGAATAAAGGATTGCTTAAACTTGTAAGAAATAAAAATGGATTTTATAAATTATTTTGCTTGCGGCCTGATTCGAATGTCCCACGGACCGGTACTACCAGGGGTTGGGGACCACTGATCCGGGACACTCCACATTCAACGACATTTCTGGACCTTATCAACATTGATAAACATTGGTCATCTGCCCTTTGTGATTCAACTGTTTGATTCTATGATCCGTGTTGGCGAATTGTTTTGTTAAGTCCTCTGAAATTGCTGCTATTGTGATTTAGGGCTATACCAAAATAAATTGAATTGAAATTGAATTACTCTGACCATGTTCAAACCAGGCTAAAAACAGTTCTGTATAGCTGTACATACTGTAGCTGGATTTAATTATTAATATGTTGAATGTGCTGTGATCATTTAATGTTAATTTTCTTGTTTTGATCAGGACTTTGAGTTTCCTTATGTATGACCTGCTCAAATAAAAGTGTATTGCCTTGGAAAACTAGTGATGGAACCATTTGAGCAAGGAACTCATTACATATATGTAGTTTCTTTAATACTCTTGTGATTTGAAAGTTCGGCATCTGAGCTTTAGGAGCTTTAGAACGTTCTATAATTAGGAGTAACACCCATTGCTATTTGAGTTATTTGACTCGGACAAAACACTTTTAATCACGAGAGTTGTGGCCAATTTTCAACTTATTCACACAGTCTAAACATGGAAATCAGATGGAGCGGTTGCCAAATAACTTGCACTGCACACTAGTGGCACGCAAAAACGTTCGCGCCATTTCTCTCTGTCACGGGCGCTAATTGCTGGCATTTTGTTTTAGCCTGTGTAAATACTGGAGCCAATTTACCGGACAATGGGAAAGCATTAACTTTTGGAATATGCACGCATACTCAGTACTCCTATTGTTATGCAAGGAGCAGAGGCAATGTGTACGTTCTGATAGCCCATTCCCAACCAAAACTGCACAATGATAATGGCTGATTAATGGAGGCCCCAGAGTGCTTTTGGAATTGGCTCTCGTACAAACTTCAGGCAGTGGGTGAACCGCCTCGTACGGCAATTAGAGGAGAAGCCAAGGCCACCGCAGCCTAACTCTCACCCCAGAAACCACCGCTGCTGGAGTCCATGCACCAACATATTACGTGCATTCCAGTGAGACTGACCCTGTTTAATGACACACAGCAGAAGTTTTAAGGGTTTTAGAGGCTAATGTTTGTGCTGATATGAGGAGAAAAATATAAGAAATATTTGAATATGTTGGTTATATTTCTACTACACTCAAAGAAATGATTCAGGTGGTTAGTATTTTTAACTCAAAATACATACTGAACTAAACTCAATAATTGATTTTTGCCAGTTTTACTTAAATTAGTGTGGTTGCAACTCATTTTAAACATGTCGGTCTCAATTAAAAGTTAATACAAGAATCCTAACTCATTTTTGTAACAAATTTGAACTTGATATTCTGGCATAACTGGACAACGGAGAAGTATTGAGTTTGCTCAACATGAAAATCCTCTTGTAAGCCTGGGGGTCCATTAATGACAAAACAAATGTATTGTGTTGATTCAAAACAAATATATTGTGTTGATTCAAAACAAATATATTGAGTTGATTCAAAACAAATATATTGTGTTGATTCAAAACAAATATATTGTGTTGATTCAAAACAAATATATTGAGTTGATTCAAAACAAATATATTGTGTTGATTCAAAACAAATATATTGTGTTGATTCAAAACAAATATATTGAGTTGATTCAAAACAAAATGTGGCGAAGCAGCGACGCTACCCAGAATGCATTGCAGCGAAAAATATAAACTTCTTAAAAATTCTACATTTGAGCATTAATTTTAAAACTGAATATGAAGCAAGTCCTACAGCAAAATACTTGAGCAACATTCTGAATAAACTAATTTGACCAAATAAGTAATTGTATTTATTTTTATCAACCATGATCGAGAGGGCCAAGCCAAAGGCAATAGTCCCTGTGTCGTCCTCCAATATTAAACAACTACATTAAAGTGGACATGTTTACCTGTAACTGTACAGGCCCTCTTCCATGTGTGTAAAGTGAGACTACTGCCTAAAATTAACAATTTTAAACTGCTTTGTGGATCTGTGAAAGATGGCATTTGAGTAAAGATTACTTATTCCTGACTGAAAATCACTTGTTGAATATACTCAAAAAGATTTATTTTTAATGTAATTATTTAAGTTGGTGGTATTATTAAAATTGAGTTGAACTGATGCTAAAACACTTGCTGAATATACTTAACAAAGTGTCTTTATAACTCAATTATCCAAGTTGGTGGTATTGAAAAAATTGTGCTGGACCAATGATAAAAGACTTACAAAGAATACTTAAAACACAGTCTTGTTCGCAAAACTTAAAAAGATGCATGCAAAATGCTGCCTCAATTTTATTAAGTTTTGCCAATGCATTTTTTTTTAGAGTGTATGGACTCTTTGCTGGGAGTAAATGGGAGGAGTCAGGATTGCTGCATAAATCCAATGAAACAATATTTACCTGTTTTATTACACTGTCGTTACTAGCTGTTTTTTATTGTATTTTGTAAAACCTGTATGTACATTTTTAGTTGTATTGTTCTACCTGCTGCTGTATTTACTCAGACTGAATCTGATTAATTTATACAGACATGATACACATGTTTTCTATAGTTTTAGAACAGCTTGAATCAAGTCAAAACCGTTTTACAATCCATGTTTTTAGCCCCTCAAGTCTGATGAACTAAAGGAGCCCTGTTGCTAAAGAGTTTGGACACCCCTGATAGTCTAAATGAAGGTCTTTGCCGCCGATCAAAGTGATTCTTCCAGTGTCTACTCTAGTACGAGTAAAAAGGACT